GTGTCCAGTCACACTTGGCCAATAAAGAATTATATTCTATTCCATTCAATTCTGTTCTGTTCTACTCTATTCTATGACTTTGGATCCTGGAAATTATTGGTCAAAAGAGATTATCAGGATTCCTTAGGATCAGTAAGTTAAAGACAAGAGCAATGTTTCTTTGGAAATGAAATATTTTACAGCAATTCTGTAAAAAAAAAAAAATCCAAACTGCAAAAAAATACTCACACTTTGTATTATGTTTAGCAATACACTTTCTACAGAACAACAGGTAAGCAATCTGTAGCTTTCGAGACCTTCCCAGAGCCCTCTGAACATCCTAAACTAGTTTTCAGTGCTCAAATCTTGCTCCCTCTTCTGGTAGTGAGGAAATACGCATGCATACTGTATAAGATTTCGTTTTTCAGTTTGCATATATTGAGTACAGTTGGATGAAAAAAACTAAAAGAGAAAATGTAGTGATCAGAAAATCAGAGGTGACAATCTCATTTCAGAATTCTTTCATTCTATATAAACTTCTTAATATTATTTTTTTTTACAAAATTTTCTATACTCATAGAAACATTATTTGGTTTTCTTAGCGCAAAACCTGGAAGCCACTTCTAGTTTTTGCATTTAGCCTTAGCATAAGGTCCTAGAAGAATTAATTTTCCCCTTGGCATCTCTTTTTCCTACAGCTAGGTAAATTGATATGCTTCATTTCTTTAAAAAAGAACCACAATACAACCCATTTGAAGCCTTGTAGGAAAGTTTACTTTCTTGATTAAAATGTTTATTTTTACTATAGTAATCAGCTGGCCTTAAAAATATTTAATTTTGACTGGATAGTAACACATCTTTGCATTAAGAACAGCACCTAAGCCTATGTGTTTCTTCTTAGCATGTGGCAACCATTCCCAGCCTGGGTGCACTGTTGATAAGTGCATTTCAGTTTCCAGAATATACAGCTGACATGAGCCTCCTGCATCTGGGAAGTGTTTGAGTTGAGGAACTCTGGTGTATGGGATCAGTATTTAGCACCGAGCATGGATAGTTCCATGACAGCTATCATCATTTTGACTTGGGTTGATTCATGCTGTGCTACATAAGTTGCTTTATATGATTGTATCAGGTGATTCATTCATCTAGCCTACCACTGTTTGCTTTAACTGGAGAAAGCTCTTCCACATAATTTTACCAGGTGCAGCTCCAGAGACAGTATCAAAAAAGGTCTGGGACTGATATTGGAACATGCTGTTGTCTTTGTGGAATAGTCTTTTATCCATACACACAGGATATTTAATGCATTCTTGTACTAGAAATTTTGTCCTCAAGAATCATCTCTCACAAAAATAATGTGAAAGAACAGGTTACTCCGATGGCCCACTTCTGCATAGTTACCCCAAAAGCTGGTTAAACTTAAATTTACCAGAACTTACAGTTTCAAGCACATTTTTAAATTGCCAAGAAAGTCAACATAGAAGTGCTTGATGCAGTCAGCTCCTAGGTATTTCTTGTCTTGGATTTCCACATTTGCACCATACAGCTAATACAAAAATCAGCTCAATGTCCCAAACAGCTCATAAAAGGAAATATATTTTGGGAAGGCATTAAAATGTCTTCAAAGGAAGAGAGAACACAACATGCATCAGTAGAGAATAATGGCAAGAATTTCCTGAGAATAAATGGAATACATTTATTGTTCTCTGATCTAAACATATGAATACACATTGCTATCATTCTTTCCTAAGAGGTGTATTGCCGAACTTCTATTCTTGCTACAAGAAAAGAATGATGCTCTAGTTCTTATATTTCTATGAACTACATTTAATTTCTTCGACATACTGAGTATATTAAAGGTGCCTAAATGCCACTGATGTAAGATTTACTTACTTATTATTTGTACCCTACCTTTATTATTTTTACAAACAAGCAGCAAACATATACAATACACCTTCTTCCTATTTTCCCCACAACAAACCTGTGAGAGGGGTTGGGATGAGAAAGAGGGACTGGCTCAAAATCACCCAACTGGATTTCAAAGTAAAGATGGTTTGTAGCCTTAACCTAGGGGTATCAACCTAGGGGTATCTCCTGCTTTGTAGCCTTAACCTAGGGGTATCAAACTTGATCCCATTGTGGGCTGTATCAGTATTTTGTTTGCCCTTGGAGGGGCCAGGTGGGTGCAGCCTGGTCATCGCGCCCAGCTGGATGGGCATGGCCAGGGTCAGCCAGGGTCAGGGCGGCATGGGCCAATCCCTCACTGTCTCTGGGATGGCCCCATGGGACAACTCTGGGCCTATTGTGGGCCGAATCTGGCCTTTGGTTACGTGTTTTGACACGTCTGCTTAACCTATTCTATTTTTGAAGGAGATTGGCATGTTTAGCCATCCACATGTTGTACCCCATCAACATATATGGAGGCTTTGCTGTGAGTAGTGAGTGCTAACCCAACCCCAGGGATTCTCCACTTGGTTCAATAAACACATTTGTTCAAAGGTCTACTCCAAAGATAAGTACTTGGTAAATTACAAACTTCCCCTCAAAGTCTCCAAGATTGTGCCACAAAAATTTGCTTGTTGCCAAATCAACATAGCTTTGTTACAGCTGTTTCCCCCACAAATCACCCCACAAAAAGCCGTTCCCGCTTGCCAGGGATGTCACAAGCTGTTGTGTGAAGCGGTAATGGCCTTGAGGAGCAGAGATTCTCTCTACCAAGGCAATGATCAGATAAAAGATGCCTGAGCCCTGGCCAAGAATATAATGTGAGTAAGTGTCTCAGACAAGCTCTTACCTGAGTTCACAGGAGGATAAAGGAAGACAGAAGGAAGCATGCTCAAATTGGAAGCTTCTGTTTCTGCAGCTTTACAATAAAAGTAGCACTGATTCTATATGGCATTAGTTCTCTACTCTAGCCTATTTTAAATGGTTGAGCCAAGCTCACCTTTCCATTATGAAGACACTGAAAACATGGGTTTGTGTGGGTGGGGTGGGAGATACTGCCTCTTTAAAGGTGCCCACTTTATTCTGGCACATTTATGTATAAGAGTTCAAGTACAAGACTATACAATCAAGGCATCCCTGTTTCAAATACGAATGCTTGTTCATTTTCACAAAACACCACTGCCCTGGGAAACCAACCCTGAAACAGTATTGGGTAGCTATTTACAACTTTTCTTTCCCATAAAAGAATGTTTGTGCACCCTCAGGTCTAACACATCTGTAAATTTTTCTGAATAGTGGCATCTCTTAAATGGATGAAAGAAGTCTAAACTTTAAAATGTTACACTACTCTTAATAAAAGACAATCCAGAAGTATTTCAAAAAGTTTTATAAAATACAGACGGAAGTCTTTTGAGGTTTCGGTTGTTTCAAACTTTCTGAGCGCATTTTTAGAATTTAGAGTCAACATTATGGTAAAATAAATATATGGGATTATTTAACTATCACAGAAAAGCAACATTTTTATGCAAAAAGTTTAATAATACAGTCATAGTTTAATACCATCCAGTAAAAGTATACTGTAAAAATGTTCTAGGCATAAATTGATCTTAGAGGACATTACACAGCAATCTCATCCATTCTAACTCAGAGATAAGCTCTAACTATTTAATGGCATTTATTCCCCAGATGAGTGCGCAAAGGATTGCTGTGCTGTAAACATTTGAAGTACAGCCCAGCAAGGTGTCCTGCTCAGAGCATCACTGAAATGAATGGGAACCAGGCCTGGTTGGTGAGTCTTCCCAGAAGATCAAGCCTTTGCGACACAGTGAGGTAGACGGTAGAAACAAAGAATTCTTCATTAACACGTGGTTTTAAATCTTGCGGGAGCATTTTAGAGTGGAAAAAAATGGTAACATTGCAGACATACAAATGAAACATTTGGTTAATGCTTAAATCTGTACAGCTCAAATATATATTTTACAAAATATTAGACACTTGAGTGCATATAATGCTCTGGGCATTAAAGGAAAAGGGGGAAATGTACATTGCTCACCTCCATTTTTGTACTTTGCAGTCTGTTTTAAATAAATATTTACAGCTTCAATATGAACAACACTGTATCCAAACCAAAGTGTGCACTTTCTTTTAAATTATTGCTCCTGATGATGGTTTTTCCTTTATTAGCATTTTATATTATTTATCTATTACATTTATACACTAATACGTCTTTCCTCCACTTTCCCCACCCTTCTGAAGTTCTATGAAATCCTGAATCCACAAGAGAAGGAAATGTCTCAGGAATATTTCCAGGTCTTGTGAGGTGCAGAACCTGATTTGTGGAGCAGTGTTTAATTGTCTCCCTCAGCATCACATCTGCATTAACTATAAAACCCCATGGCAGCTGGTGCCCTTCCTGGAACTTTTGAATTTTGAACATTTTGAAATTAAGGAGCTCTTTCAAACCCTCTAAACCTCCCCAGTATGTCCCTCCTGTAGCTCTTTTCACAGCTTCTAATTAATACATTTAAAAGATCAGCCACCTAACTAATAATTATAGAGTGGAACTGATTTTTATTTGCGTATTTATTTAAAAGAAGGAAGTCTGTTTCAGGATGGAAATATCTGTAAGGGAAACACCGAAACAATTCCGGATTCAAGGATTGTCAAAAGAAACCTTCTCTATGTTTGCTTTTCCTAATACTTTTCTCTCAAAAGAGAGCCTAGAAGAGAATACCAGGATTACATTCTTGGAACGGAATCCTGCATTGGAAGTGATGCAGTTCGCTTCATCTATTTCTTCCTTGCCTCCAAGTCAGAAATTAGAAATCATGGATTGCCGCTTCAACGCAAGTGAACTACAGGGGGGCAGGGAGAAAAAGTAAAAGAAGTCCGTTTTAAAACCTGAATGTAAAGGCCAAGTTCTGCCAACAAGAGGAGGGCATGAGGCTAGCGCCAGTTACGAAAGTGACCCACGACACGTGTCTTTGCCTGGTTCCCACAATTCAATTTCTGACACCCACGTTGCCTCTCTTAAGAGGCTTGCGTAACTTCCCTGATTCTCCTTTAAAAAAAAAATTCTTCCAGAAACTACAAGGACATTATACTACGAGGAAAGGGGCAGTGAATTATCCCAGAAAATCTTGTGTTTCCGGATTCAAAATCAAGGCTTAAATTTCTGCTAAACGGATCACTACTATTTTGGGTCGTTCCAGCCTCCAGTCGAGGAGAGACGTCGATCGATCAACCTTCAGAGCAACTTTTGCCACGTGTTTTCTGAGCAAAACCGGGTCGGGGGGTTGGACTAGATGACCTACAAGTTCCCTTCCAACTCTGTTCACCTGTAAAATCTCCCATCCTAGCTAGGATAGACGGCTTTGCCTGGACGCGGAAACACTGAGGCTGTTCCCAAAATGGCACCCGCCACTGTACTTTTCTCTCTCTCCCTCCCGGCTCTTTAAGGAGCAGGACCTCGAATCCCCGAAGCAGACATTGCGCAAGCGCAGTCCGGAGCCGTCCATTCTTCCCTCCCCAGTGCAGGAGGGGGATTCGCACGTGGCGCGCTTCCGTCCGCTTTCCCATCGCGTGCCTGTCTCTCTCTCGCGCGCGCTCTCCGCCGTGGAAGTTTCCCTCCCCGCGAGGCTTTCCCCGTCCGCCCTTCCGCTCCAAGGGGCAGCCGGGGACGGAGGCGCGCCGCTACCTGCACCCGCAGGACTCCACCACCATGTCCTCGTACTGTTTGTACACCACGTTGTTTCCCGCGTCCGTGTAGAGGATGCTGATGGGCGTCAGCTTGGCCGGCACGCAGCAGCTGGGCGGCGTGGCGGCCGGATCCATGGAGTTCATGAGGGTCTGGATGATGGCGTGGTTGGTGGGCTCCAGGTGCGAGCGGAGCGGGAAGTCGCACACGCCCTCGCAGTGGTAGGCCTCGTACTCGAGCGGGGCGATGATCCAGTCGTCCCAGCCCAGGTCCTTGAAGTTCACGTGCAGCGCCTTCTTGGTGCACCGCAGCCGCGTCTTCTTGCCGTGCCGCTTGCCGTGCCGGTTGTTATACGCGGCGCGCTTCAGCCGGCGGGCCTGCAAGCGGAGCTGGACGGGGCCCGGCGCTTCCCAGGGTAGCGCAGCCTTTTGCGGCGGAGAAGGCCGCGCTCCGGGCTCCGGCCGCAACTCGGCAAAGAGGTTCTTCCGCCTCGACTTGCTGAAGACCACCAGCAGCGCCTTCTCCTGCTGGGCCCGGGCGCCTCGCCCCAGGCCTAGGGGCCGCAGGTCCAGCAGCTGCGGGTGAGGCTGAGATCGAGTCCCCCCGACGGCCCGCAGCTCCAGGCAAAGTTGCTGCCGCTTCTTCCAAGGCCCGCGGAGGGGCGGTAAAGCTTGGCCCACATCAAACACCTCCCAGTCGCCGCCGACGCCACCGGGCCGGCCGGGCGCCGCCTCCTGCAAGTCCAGGGTCCGGGAGTCCAGTCGGCGGCCCGAAAGGCAGGGCGAGACCTGCAGACGGGCCAGGCCTGTCTGAGCCTTGGAGAAGGGATCGCCGGGGGCTTTCCGAAAGAGACGGAGCTCGGCCCCCACCAGCTCCTCTTTGTCTGAGAGAGTCGATACATCAAACAAATATTTTTGTCTCCTTAAAGCGCTGGGCGAAAGATCGTCTGCAAGATAAAAAGACATAATTGCAGTCAGTTTTACCTCTTGAGGGAGAACTTCAACGGCCGAGGGGAGGAGGGGGGAGCCTTGTCCAGGTGTGGAGGGCATTTTGTGGTACCCTTGTGCAAGAAGGAACAGGGAAGGATCTCCAGAAACGGAGGGCTCTTCTCCAGCAGGTTACTAAAACAGGGAGGTTATCAAAAGCCAAGAGGCCTCCTAGAATTACAGTAGCAAGCAACCCACAGGTTTCCAAATGGAGGGGTTTATATCTAACTACTGGTGCCTTTTTAGTGCAAAGTACAAAAAACATCCATGCTGTACTCATTTGGCTGTGTAAAAGTTAAGTTTATCTGACATTACTGCTTTTACTGCTATAAGCCAGCTAGAATACTGGGGATTCAACCTGTTTACATTTGCTGCTCAAATTTGGCTCATTCTATATTTTCACAACTACCAGGCAAATAGGATATTAAAAGATGAATCTATTTTTTAATTGTAGTGTGTTTCCAAGGTGAAGCACCCCTTTCCTAAATTGGAATAATGGAGAGTTAAAAGACATACATAATGACAGCATCTTTGGGGCAACGTATATTCACTTTTCATTGCTTAAAAATCTAAGTTCCTATTTGTGGGTTACAGCAAGGTACTGTAATCACATTGGGATTTTTTTTATTGTTTTAAAGCAGGCTGTGTGAAAAATGCAGGCTATGAAAAGCAAATTGGGTCACCTCTTTTTCTACTTACCAATTCAAAGCTTTATAGGTTGGCAAATACAAAATTTCTCCCTTTTTCCAGGTTTTCCCTTAAGAGCTTAGTAAAACCTGCATGTCTTTTGGGAGTAATATCACCAACAAATATTGCAACCATGAATCTCCTGCTGAGATGCAGCTGCAATAGTCCTGTTCTATTGATTACAAAGGTAACATTCCTAGTCAATATATGTTTAAACAAAAAGCTCTGGATGAGAGGACTTGGAAAAATGGGAGTAGAGTATCAAAAGGATGCATATGATGGGAACCAAAATATCTTCAGATAAGCTAGCAAGAGAAAGATTGGTTTCATATGCTGTGCTAATTGGTCATTTATTTTGCTCGGTTCTGACTTTGCAAATGTGAACCAAACAATGTTGGCTTCATCAGCAGATTGTGACTTTAATGCCATGTACAAATGCAACCAAACTGCCAGTAACAAATATGTTGGTCACCTAATAGTGTTTCCTGATAAAAAAAATACATGGGGAGAATAATAATTCTCCTCTTTCAAAGATAGAAAAATGTTCTGCAGCTCATTTCTTTGGCTTGTGGATTTTATCCACCCCTGCAATTTGATGCTTTAATTTGAATTCCACAACCAGCACCTTTGCAATAGGCCTTGAAGCCTCTCCTAAGATTGTGTGCTTTACGTGCTTGATGCTATGTCTTTTATTAAGAAATAGACACTGCCTGTAAGTATTTGCAAACTAGGTTTTTGGCTGCCATACTGATCCCTCAGTACATAATTAAAGGGGCCAATAGCAGCTTCAGTGGCAATCAGGACTTGCATTGTGCTGATCAAAGGGCCATTTTTACCAACATTGAGGCAAAGCAGGCCAGCTTAAGGGAAAGGTATTAACTTTAAGTTGTTGGAGTGATTAAATCTGCCATGTCTATTAGGCAAGGAGATACTGGTTGGATAATGGTTGGATGCCAAAGTCATCTTTTTAATCCTTGATGGTGGTTGGGGGGGTGTTTTAAATGTCTTAGAAAGTCTTGCATGCGGTTGTTAACAGACAAGCTGACAAATGACCAAGTTTTGTGTGCATAAGTGGCAGTGCAGCATTTGTGATCCTATGAGTATCTTATCAAATTATATGGGACTTAACTTCCAACTGGTGCAAAGTGCTTTGCAGTCTTTCTTTGAAATCCACTGTGAATTCTAGCAGGAATTACCCCCCCACACACACACACACACCTTGGATTTTTGAAGACCTGTTCCATATCTTTTAGAAGGATAAAGGTAAATCTTGATTGCCAGTTCTTTTCTAACACATTTTGATTGCAACTCTGTACTTGTTCCCCTTCAAATGTACTTGGGATATATATACACTGAGATGTGTAGTATTCTTAGGTTAGTTTTGTGATTCCTCCAAGGTAGTTTCTCCATGTTACTCTCAGAAGGACCTTGAAAAGTAACTGTCTCCAAATATCAATATAATGTTCGTATTGTGATCTCAGTGTCAGTCCTAGTTTTTTTTTTTTAAAAAATCCTGGCTTATGTATGTATGTATGTATGTATGTATGTATGTATAGTATTCAGCTTTGTTCGGGTATTTTCCTACGTCATTGTAGTTGTGCTTTTAAAGTTGTAGCAACGTTTCAGCAGAATCTCATCTGCCATTATCAGGCTTCTGTATTGTGTTCGTCCAGATGGCAGATGAGATTCTGCTGAAACGTTGCTACAACTTTAAAAGCACAACTACAATGACGTGGGAAAATACCCGAACAAAGCTGAATACCATAAATGTAAGTACCCGCGAAAACTTAAGATATATATCTCGTGACCATACCTCCTTTATTATAAAGGCCAATCTGTTATTTCAGAAAGCTGTCAGATTTATTTATTTATTTTTAATTCAGTTTTCCCCTTTATTTTGGTCACTTTAACATTTACTGTATAAATAGTACTTCATGCACAATATTTTACATTTATGTGAAAAATACAGAAATAGAATTGTCTTTTAAAAAGTAAATTTACATATATTGTTTGATTTTAGATATCTTTTAATGCATTTTTGAACAGTTTTTCTTTGTTTTGCTCTTGAATTGTCTTTGTAAAGCAAAGGTATTTTTTTTATCCTTATGAACCTGTTTCAGACTTGTCCCTTTTCTGGTTTGTCCTTTATTTTTTCCAATAAAATATAGTCACCCCACTTGTATAGTGCTGAAATGAAAAAGGATTACTCAGTCCAGATTGCTGGATACCTATTTCACTGTGTAAATATGAAATTATTGCTTAATTATATTTGAAATCAATAACTACATTTAAACTGTATTAAAATATAAATACAAGAGGCATTTGAATGAAATGTAAATGCAGTTATGCTTTTAAATGTTCTAAAACAACACCATTGATCTCAGTGAAGCTGATTTATGAGTAAACATGCATCCAAGATTCTTAATGGGTTCTATTAAATGCTCAATACTGCTGTTGTGATAACAGAGGAATTAGTGTATGAAATATTGATGACTTTTCATGTCTGAACACCAGATTTCTTATATAAAATTATGATTTAAACTATACCACTTAAGTTTAATGCTGGGCAGGGAAACTCCTTTGCATGTCTTTGTATTCTCGGTGATGAAAGACAGTTAGCTTTAGAAATTCTTTCCAAGGACAAGACTATTTTTTTAAATGCTCGGAGATGTCCAAGAGAATTATGTTCCTTCACATAGCCTTCTCTGCAGCTGTCTGCAGTTTCTCTAGCTTCTCACACTTCAATTCATTTCCAAGGAATGGCATGAGTAAGCTGTCCCAAAGGGCTTTTTTCTGATTTAGAACCATGAAAGCTTCAAAATTATAAAGACATGCATAAGAAGTAACACCAGTAATAGCACCTATTGTCCCCTCAATATTACGTTAAAAGTACTACCAAAGAAGAACTTTATTTTGGATACTGAGTGATGTCATCATATATGCAGAGTAAGTTTTAGACTATAAACTAGAGGAAGACAGACAGAATCCTGCAGAGTTTATCTAATCCTTTTTTTAGTATTCCATACTGTGTACAAAGCTCAAGATGTCATCACCAGGTTGTAGCTTAACAAAATTAAAATGTTAGGTAGTATTTCCTCAATCTTTGCAACTTTCAGATGTGGGGGCCGACTCGCAGATTCCCCAGCCAGGCAACAGAGTGATTACTGAGAATTCTGGGAGTAGAAGTTCACACATCTGGAAATTGCCAAAGGTGAGTAACTTCTCTGGGTTAAGAGATAGTGATTGGCCCAAATCCGTCCAATAAGAACCCTTTTATTGCTGTTCTAAACCTCACTTTGCCAGCTCATCCTTTATCCAAATTCAGGCTTTTTAGACGTGTTGGATTGCAACTCCCGTTATCCCTGGCATTTAATATAGATTAATGGAGACTCACAACCCTTGCTACTATTTGATCTAAACCAATGCTTGGAAGTGAGGTTAAGAAATTAAAAGACAGATTTTATTATAAATTTATATTATACATTCATCCAATGGTTACATATTTTATATTATATATTAATCTATTGATATTCTATTACGAAACTTCCTAATCTGTTTCATTACCATGTCAAGAATATCTCGTATAAAATGATGGAATAATAGTTTAGTCGAATGATTAATAACTGATAAGTGTATAAGCATATGCTAGATTGACAGTCTATACAACTTGTGAGTAAGGACTATGAAAGGATAGCACAAAGGATTTGTAACCAACTGACGCACTGTATCTATATAATTGGAAGATGGTTTTATGTTTTTATGTTTCTGTATATGTTTATCTTAAAAAATAAAAATCTTTAAAATAAAAGAAATTAAAAGATTAAAAAGTTAAATTAAAAGTTCCCATTTTCATAATCCTGCTCTGTGAAAAAGGACCCCATGGCTGTTGGGCACATGGCCTCTATTTGGTTGCTAATATACCTGTCAACCTGCTAGAAAGAAATGGGTAGCAGCCTTATCTGTGACCCAGATTGAAGCAGATAACGTCTTATCCTGAAAGGGCAGGTTTGGTTTCAAGAAGACATTAGATGGCAGACACAGGTGGTCTTCAACTTATGATCATAAGTGGGACCAGAAGTTCCATCACTAAGCAACATGGGTCATTAAGCAAGTTGCACCAGATTTTGATCACGTGACTTGGGATGTTGAGTGATTATAACTGCATAACTGGTCATAAGTTACTTTTTTCAATACCATTGTAACTTTGAACAGTCATTAAACGGTTGCAAATCAAGGTTTACCTGTACCATCAGCTACACCACATGATTAAATACAAGCTAGCTACAAAGATCTGGAAGTGGATTTGCACATGCTAAGAATTATCGGCACACTTCATTGATAATGACACGTCTTCCTCATCCTTCTAACAGAAATAGAAAATTAGGATAACATTCTCCAAAATAGCACCTTGCAGATGGATTCTGACTATAACACCCATCATTCCAAATTAGAACGGCTAGAAGACAAACTCCACCCATTAGTACAACTTCAGCCCCAAGGACAAACTGAGTCAGACTAAATGTTCTCCTGATCCAATAGTTTCATCCCTGGTCAAAATAAACTGGTCAAAAGACCTCAGAGAAGGTTTTGAAGATGACAGGGCAGAATTTAAGACTTCTGCCTAAACAAAACACCTTCCCCAAACAAAGGCATGTTCTTCTGAAATCAGAGGTCTTACAAGCAATTTTAAGGATCTTTGCTTTGACTCCCGAATGTCTTTCTTGTCAGCCAGATTTCAGTATGAGTAACAAGCTTGAAATGAGTCGTGATTCAGGCTACAATCTTAGCAATCTATTCCAAGGGGGGGGGGGGGTAAGACCCACTGAAAGCAATTTTTTCTACTTTGAGTTGATAAGTTTATTATAAACTACTTTGTAGGATATGATTTGCGTGGCACAAATTCAGCCATTGGAAACAGTCTATATAAGAATTAGCTGTTAGTGAGTTTCTGAGAGGAAGACCTGTTTTTGAAAACAGGTGACAATGCTTGATGTATCTTGTTGGTCTTTTGGGTAGACAACCATATTATAGTCTGTCCTTGCAGGAAGATTACCACACTGTTAGAACAATCTAGCAAAGTATTATTGGTGATAGGAATTGGGATAAATAGAAGAAGTATGAAGTGGATTGGAAGGAACCAATCTAAAACAAGGGAAATTTCCTGACTGAGAACTATTAAGAGATAGAACAGCCTCCTTCCTGAAACTGGGCACTTCATCACTGGGCATTTTGAAGGAAAGATTGGGTAGTCATTTCTGTGAGATGATATGAGGATTCTGAGGGAAAGTTTGACTGTGAGATCTCTTCCAATTGTATGATTCTGTGCCCTGATCTTCAGAAGTTCCAATTAATGCAATATAATTTTCTCTCATATAGATGTGCAATCTCTCCAAAACACAAAGATTTCAGTTTGCATGTGACTGCTACAAAATATTTGCCAACTATTGTTCTTACCAGGGATAATGACTCCTTTCCCCCAGCATACTGACATCCTTTTTACCATAAACTTCTTGTCTCCTTTTTTAAAAATTAACCTTGTATTGATTCCGCATTAACCTGAAACATTTGGTCTAAATCATCTAAGTCCTAGTAGAAGCTTTGTTTTCTATCAGATATTAATCTGACAGTTGATTTGATAATGGACATGTTTGTGAAACCATGCAAAGGAACCAGTGGCTAGGAAATAAATATGAATGTATGCAGTGGTCTTTGATTTAAAAATGTGTGTGTGTGTGTGTGTGTGTGTGTGTGTGTATTTCTCAAATTTCTACCCTGCCATTTTCACCTAAGAGACTCTGGGGGATTTACAACAATGTATTATGAAGGAACAGGTAGTAATAGTTGTTACACAATTTAGAAAGTTTTACATGGCCTGGTTTTGAAGAATTAATAGACTGCTCACTGCATGTATCTAATTATCAAAGTAAAAAATGCAAAATATGTACAATTATGTAAGTATAAGGTATGCTGGCTCTCTGTCTGGTTTTGGTGCCTGTGAATGATGGACATCATATGTTATATACCTCTGATGTTTTGACAAAGATGGATTGATTCTGTTTCTGTAAACCTGTAACAACTCAGTGCCTAACTATGCAGTCCTCATTAGCATGTGTAACAATATTTCATGGCTGACACTGGAGAATAACTCATCAGTATCCTGCTAGTAGCGGTGTATATTAATCTCCCTCCAATGATGCCACTCTTCCTGTTAGAAGAAGTCACCTGTTGGCATGAAAATATGCACAAATCAGGATCTTACAACATGAAATGGCAGGACAATGCATCTATCCTGATGCCATTTTACAGTTTCTTCAATTCTCCTATATGAACAGGCGAAGCATTGGTGCTTTTTATCTGCTGCTCTGTTTTTATCAGTAAGCCTCTCGGGTTTCCTAGCTTTGCATCCTCTAAATGCATTCTTTATGTCCCATCATCCCCAGAGAGAGGTGGTGGTAGAGTGATGGGAGTTAAAGTCTAAGAGGCTTGGAAAGCAGCAGCTGTTTATAAATGTGGT